TAATAGCTGTAACGTGTCGGAATATTACCAACGAATATTGGGTGTAACGAGCATCGACTGTTTGGCGCAACATTCCAAATATTCCAGGCTGACTCCCAGAGTTCCTGTGATCACAGAGAAATCGCTTTCCCTTCGCGACCGTTCGCAGATCGAAAACTGGAAATTGAGCAGACATCCTCCTTTATAAAAGGACTGGCCAGCGCTGGGAATTCAGTGTGAATATCTTGTACAACGCGTTAAAAATAACCTGTTTTCAGATGTTCTCTTCATAAAGCACGAAACATACCAACATGACCAGAAGGCCATTAGGCCCCACAGCGACCGACGCAGTGCAACGATTCCTACCTGGTTGTTTCTCACGTACAATTAGAACTCTCTCCTCAATGAGTGATCAGTGCAGCAATGCCATCATGTGTCCGTGATGATGACAGATTGACTACTAGCGTTCGGATCTGCGGATATCATAAGCTACCGCACTATAAATCCAGGCTATGGATTTAAATAACAGTAGTACAGGTAGCACGAGTGACGTTCAATTTCCAGGTATCAGCGGCCTACCGTCGATTTCGTCTCCCCTTAGGCATTTTGCAAACAGTACAACTAAAAGCTCCAGATTTCTTTTAGATTAGTTTTCGCTTAGAACCAGACTAAAAATTAATCGTTACCGCATGTATTTAAGAAGCAGGCACTTAGTTCTATGCTACTACCGAATCTATACATTGGTTTTCAGAGGTGCCTGAACTAACTCACTCACAGAAGAATAGCATACGACGGAATAAGAAAATCCTTTACGAGAACGTGACCAAACAGCGTAAGAAACAGCACATTAAATTCTCTAGTTTGCGAAGCTGCAAATTAGTGCAGACCGTGAAATCAGTTTTTCCCACGGAAATTAAATTCGGACATTTAAGTATACACTTCTAGAAGTTATCAAGAAAAAGTAAAATGCATATATCTAGCCGTTCTACAGTAGCCATATAAAAGGAATTATTAATTCAATCGTGGTTGTAAATTATGTTTACTCTGATGTCTAAATGCAGTATGGTATACTGATCAAACAGACATTAACTTTCTTGAGCTTCTTGATCAAGCTTCACCACAGTTCACAGCACACTGTAACACTTGCTGATGTGTCAACTAAGCAACATCGATATGACACTGCCAATTTGATTCACCTGCGAGCTTGTAGTACACCGAATCGAACAGAGGCGTCACTCCCAGCGCGAGTCTCGAGTGAAGAGATGTGCCATCTGCAAATTAGAGGAATGCATTGCAGTTGGTTCTATAGGCTTCAGGCATGAGATATCCAGGTGGTCTGATAAATTCGATTTTGAGGGAATAGCGTCGTAAAGATGATAAAGCTGTTTGTTGCGAAAAAGCAATACGCTAGTCGTGTTTAAATCGTCATCTACCGCTAGGATCACTTGAAACCTATTCTGCTGAACTACATGACAATGCTGAAATGATATTCTCTATGGCGACGCGATTGTTCTTGAATTTTTGATCATGAATAAGAATCCTTGAATTAATAAGTACGTTAGGACCATTACATAAAATTGAAGTTCTTCTAAGTGGATGGCTACAGCAACACTGTGGCCTAGTCTGGATTTTCTTACAAGGTTACGAACCGGTTACCGTCAAATGCAATGTCTCACTGATTTGGCAATCGAGCATTGATAGACTACACTGATGACTGACGCGTGCGTAACTGGCTTTGCACTGCCACCTGTAAAGTTGGCGTCTTGACTCAGTGTGGATCGCAGTTTCTGTTCAAAGTAGCTGATCAGTACCCTATCAGAATAACTGAAAAGCATAGAACGTGTTATTCTATCTTAATAACTAAATTTTGAATTTTGGAAAATTCAGAAAGCTCTGTGGTTATACAGGAGACATAAGTATGTATGTTGCCTGGCAAGGTGAACTATGACATTCTTCCATTTACTCTTCATCAATGTCGAGGGATGACGCTAATACATGGTAGTCAGTTTACTCATTCCATACGTGATCCTTCCATTTAACCGTCATTGTGTGTGTCGAAATCAATGTTGATCTACACAATTCAACTGTCGATTTTGATCCTTCTTTAGAGCAACTGTTTCCAAGCCGTACGAGCAGGGCTGGCATGACCGAAACGGGGTGCACGCCAATTTTGTTAGATGTTACTTTTTCCTCAACCAAAATATCGCTAGGTGTGAGGGCTATTTCCTCCTTTAATTCTGATTCGACAGTACCACCGAGTGATTGCGCCAAGGTACTTAAATTGATCGACTTCCTCTAAGGTTTTTTTTCTTTTTTCCACTGATAGATTGGCCGCGTCCAATGGATTTCTCATGAAGTTTGACTTGAAGGCACTGAGGCAAAGGCCGTATTTTTACAACTCTCTTGCGTACTGAAGCCGTTAGATAACGAAACCCGTTTCCTGTGCTGCACACAAGGACATATCACTACATATTCCAGGCAAACGCGATGTCTAGCCGAACATCTCAACCAGGGTCGGCACTACTTCAAAGAAAATCGCCAAACATTTTAAGTAGCAGAGACGAACACACTGTCCTGGTGACTCCATATGTCACGGGGGAACCACTCAGATAGCTCTCCTTTGACTTTGGCAGTAGATATGGTTTCTTCATACATCTACTCCAACAGAAACAATTTATTCCAATATCCTCTAGAGGTTTAAGATTCATTACGTCGTTAAACGATGCTCTAAATCGAATTCTGAGCTATGTAGAGGAAACTAGCAAACCAAAGCAACTGTAGACATCTCATTGCGAAGTAATCCTATGGATTGTGCAAATTGGGTTGTAGATTCAATGCCTTCTCCGGAATCCTGCTTCATTTGAATGGAGTTTTTTACCAACCGCTTGCCTTAGCCTTTCCAGAATAATTCAGAAGAACAGTTTTACGGGAGTTAACTGTAGTGCGATGCAGATGAACGATGATAGGTCACTATGTCATAGGACCTCCCTGATCCACACTTTCATCCTGCAGGGAAACATTTTAAGGTCCATATTTGGTGAAATAGAACATGATGTTTGTCTAACGCTTTTCTTTGGTCATGTTTATTTCCTGAGTGATTTGATTTACACCACATGTCTTCTTCACTTTGAAATATGCCAAGGGTTTTGGATTTCTAGCCTTGATGGTAAGTCTGCGCTAACTATTGTGGGTAGGAAATTGACAATTGGAGGAATCTATGAATGACTCAAACAGCTATTGAGCAGGTACTGAACACAACACAAGGCATTCCTTTTTATTCAAAATGGAACGCCCTTAGTTAACTGAATAAAAAGAGACAAAATTCTCTCCTCACAGGACGTGTCGTGCTACTTGGCACACTGTTCTTCGGCCGCTCTTCACTGCCTTACAGCTTTCACCGATATCTCCATCAAACCGATGTTCCCTCTTTCGCCTGTAATTGCGGTTGACTCAACGAACTAAATGACGAAAGGTCTTCATGGAAGCACTGGAGTGTTGCAAGTGCCTATTAGTCTGGCTCCTCTGTTCTCTACGGTTTAAAGTGATCGCTGTCACCCAGGATAGTTTACATATCCTCGTTTAAGAAATAACACAATTTTTGAAGTCTAAGTTACTAGACCGGTGGAACGGCTATCAATCTTCGAAACTCTGATGTCCTTGGCCAGGTTGGTGTGTCTCTGAGAGTCCCGGCATATCCTCATTTTATGGCACTATGGCTCGAGTGACGTCATCCATTTTGCTTTCACTATTCAACGTCGGAACATTCCAGCACACAAACAACACGTTGCTTCTCCCTGCAGAACTGGAGATTCTGACCATTCAGACATATCGAAATTTGCAAAAACTTGCTGCAGTAATTATGAATATTTATTGTCCCCAAAATTTTGCAGATTATTTTAACTTATTCGAAATCAATTTTAATGATTCACTAAAAACCAAGATGCATTATGTAGCAGAATCTGAGACTGATGCAACCTACAAAAACAACAAATGAGCTTCGACATACTGATCATTATACAAAAAGAATGAAGGAACTCCTTTAAATGCATGCCTTGTGACTGTAAAATTGCATTAAATTGAATTTGCCACGCTTGAAATCGTCAACCGTGAGACACGAACTCATGGCACTTATACTTTGTTTAGCAGATGATTGGTGTGGCTCTGAGACCCATATTTCAATGTACCGCAATATATTCTAGCTTTCATGATTAATCAGCCTTTTCTCTGTGCTGTCAATCTGCGTCCTGTGAGCCGAAACACACAGAGATGCAATATACAATTCTCATCCACAATAAGCTTTTTTCTGTGCATCTTCGATGGCATTAAATAACCGTATTCACTTGAGTTTGCGGCATGGAGAACGATTGAGTACAGATAGAAGTCACTCACGCATTTTGACATTTTCAACCAATGTGAATAAGTGAAAGGATTACGTGTATTTCCATATTGTCATCCTCGAGGAAGTGTACAACACTGTAGTAGTTCAAAAAGATCTGTAAATGAACAATGGATGCTGCCCTTGAGGCGGAAAGATATGGCTCGTATTAGGCA